AATTTGTTATATTACACCGCACATGATAATGAACTGTTAAATGTTGAAAACGCTTGTAACTTATAGATCACTCAAACTTGGGTGTGCTTAATGGACTGTCTGGGCGGATGTGCTGGCAGTCATTGGGATCTGTATAGCTATACAAACCTTGTTTTTTTTTTAAATAAAGACTTAAATATATTCGGAAATTTAGAATTTGGCTTGATAAATTCACAAAATTTACGGTTTTCATAAATAATTTAATCTTACAATGGACTTTTTTTATTTTAAACTTACATTTAAGAAAACTCCATTCAATGCTATAATTACAATTTGAGTTTTCCAGTTTATAAAACACAAGCGTTATTTATGTACTTAACTACTGATATTATTCTTCATTACGCATGAATATCAGCATACATTAAAGATGAATATTATAGTTAGGCTGTGTGCGAGTTTACCTAAATTTTAGTACCTAAACTAATATTCCACTGGGAATTCCCAGCACTGCTGCAATTTAGGAAAACAGCTGCTAAAACTGTGCGAGTTCGTTCGACAACCTAAATTGTTTGTTTTGGAATTGTTGCTTTTAATAAATATATCTATAAAATGAATAATTTTGCGGTAGCTTTGGGACTATTTAACAATATAATAAATTTGCAACAGAAAAGGAGAATGTTCAATCCTGGCATCTATAAAAGAATCCGTTTGCTCTTCTGACCCTGCGAAATAATATACATCCATCGAATTAAACATATACTTAGAGTCCGACCGATTAATCGGCATCGGCATCGGCATCGGCTAGTATCGGCACAAAATTGAGCATCGGCATCGGCATCGGCCTTTTTTCGCCGATTCTTTGGAATTTCTTTTCAAATGTTCAGGTGAAGCGACAGCCAATTTTAAAAACCATTTGCAGAGAGCTCACAAAAATGATTTTTTTTTTGTTGAAGGTGTTTCACGTTTTTTCCATACAAAAGTATGTGCGACAATTTTCTTTTATATGGAGAACACTGCCAGCAAAAAAAAATTGCCAAAAATTAACGGGATTTTATGCACTTCATTATACTAGAATGAAATGGTCACAAAACTGCATACCAAAATTCTGATTAAAAAGTTTGAAATTTTGGAGAAAATAAGCAGAATTTTTCTAATTTTTGTACAAAGTTTGAAATCTGAATTTATATGGTGTTTGTTATATACCAGCTAGACTTTTATAAAAAAAAAATAATAAACATTAAATAAAAAAGACAAAATCGGTAAAAATATCGCAATTCTTTTATATTGTGGACTACTATAAGTATGTACATACATACCTAGCATATAAGTTCTTATGCATTGAGTGCAAAAGAGTGTATTTTAGTACAAAACGAAATGGAATTTTGTGTTCCTAAATATTTTTTGGTTAGCACCATATAAAAAAGTGTTTTATGTCATGTACATAAATGTGATATATTTACATATATT